CCCCCTATCCCTCACCCGGTCAATATAGTCCACTATGGACTGGGCTGGGCAGGGGTGTCCCCCGCCCCCCTCACCAGTCAGCGTTGTCCACGGCGTCCCCAAAGCCTGGGGTGTCCACGACAGTGAGTTTCACCCGGACGCCGCCTTCCTCCAGCTCCACAGCGTGCCGCTCGATCGCCAGGGTCTGCGGGACGCGCGCTGGGGGGGACGGGGTCAGTGCTGGGGGGCAAGGCCCCCCACCCTGATACGCCCCCGGGTCTGGCCCGTGCTGCACCCCAGCCCCCCCTGATACACCCCTGCGTCCCGCCCACCCTTGCCCTGATACACCCCCAGGTCCTCCCTTGCTGTGCCCCAGCCCCCACAGCCCGAAACGCCCCCGGATCCAGCCCCACCCCGGCCACATCCCAATACACCCCGGGCTCCTGCCCACCCCCGGCCGTACCCCCAGACTCACCCCCCAATTCACCCCCAGATCACCCTCCCCCAACTCCCCACCCCCCATACACCCCCAGGTCCCGCCATACCCCTCATTCACCCCGCTACACCCCCAGATCACCCCACCCAACTCCGCAGCCCCGATACACCCCTGGGTACCGCACCATGCCGGCTGCACCCCAGCCCCCTCACCCACCCCCAATACCCCCTGGGGTTCTGCCCCCCCAGCCTAATACAGCCCTGGGTCCCGCCCCCACTCACCCTGGGCGTCCAGCAGGGTCCGATCCTTGTACAGATCCGTCAGGAACAGGCTGTCGATCAGCGTCGACTTCCCGAGCCCAGACTCCCCTGCAGGGAGGGGCAGGGGTGAGCCAGGACTCCTGGGTTCTCTCCCAGCTCTGGGAGGGGAGTGGGGGCTGGTGGGTTAGGGCAGAGGGGGCTGGGAGCCAGGACTCCTGGGTTCTCTCCTCAGCTCTGGGAGGGGAGTGGGGGCTAGTGGTTAGAGCGGGGGGGCTGTAGGGGCACATGGGGTTTAAGCCTTTACCTGCCACCATCAGAGTAAAGTCGAATCCCTTCTTCACAGATTTCCGATGCAGCTGGTTGGGGAGGGTGGCGAACCCGACGTATTCCTTGTCCTGAGACAGAGAGAGCCTGGATCTGGGGCCCGCAGACCAGCAACAGCACCCCGGAGTCCTGGCTTCCACCACCCCCGCTCTAACCCAGCAGACCCCACTGCCCTCCCCTCCCTGGGGAGAGAACCCAGGAGTCCTGGCTCCCAGCCCTCCCTGCTCTGACCCACTAGACCCCACTCCCCTCCCAGAGCTGGGGAGAGAACCCAGGAGTCCTGGCTCCAGCCCCCCCGCTCTAACCACCAGACACCACTCCCCTCCCAGAGCTGGAGAGAGAACCCAGGAGTCCTGGCTCCCAGCCCCCCCTGCTCTAACCCAGCAGACCCCACTCCTCTCCCCTCCCTGGGGACAGAACCCAGGAGTCCTGGCTCCAGCCCCCCCCTGCTCTAACCACCAGCCCCCACTCCCCTCCCAGAGCTGGAGAGAGAACCCAGGAGTCCTGGCTCCCAGCCCCCCTGCTCTAACCCACCAGCCCCCCTCCCCTCCCAGAGCTGGGGAGAGAACCCAGGAGTCTGGGCTTCCAGCACCTCTCCCAGCAGGGGGCGCTGTGGGGAGGGGGCGGGGGCTGGCTGTGGGGGGAGCTCCCGGCTACCCCAGCCCCAGCCTCGCCCAGCAGGGGGCGCTGTGGGGAGTGGGGCAGGAGGGCCGAGGATACGCCGTGGGGTGCTCACCATGGCGGCGTCTGCGCTGCTTTGAGCTCCGGCTGCACCTGGCCGCGTCTGCTCTGCCCACTTCCTCTCGCACCGAGAAGCGAAAGGAAACCGTGACGCGCCCGCCACCGCCCTCCCATTGGCCACCCCATCCCTGCGCTCCCCCGGCAGGCAGGGCTGGCCCCCGTGGGGCAGTAGGGGGCGCTGTGCTGCAGGGAACGAGGCGGGGGGCCCAGCAGGGGGCGCTCCCCCTTGACAGTCCTGGCTGGGCCCTGTGGGGCGCCGTGGGGCGCAGAGACAGACAGACACTCAGGGAGCCCTTTTCTCTCATCCTGTATTTATTGGCCTCCTGCCCAGAGCCCGGGCGCGACCCACACCGAGCTCCCCACTCCGCCGTCTCCTCACGAAGAAAAGTCCCCCAGAGCCTTGCAGCGAGGTGCTGGCCTTGGCGAGAGCCAGGCTCTGAACTGTCCCAGGGGGGCCCGGGCTTTGGGGGAACTGAGTTAGGAAAGCCCAGGGCCAGCCGGAGAGAGAAGGATTTGACCAGCAGCCCTGGGTCAGACCCATGGGCCCATCTAGCCCGGTATCCCGCCTCCACCCTCAGAAACATGCCCTGGCTCACACCCATGGGCCCAGCCAGTTTTAGGGGACAGGGGAATGGCTTAGGGGGCAGGGGGAGTGAGTGAGGGGGTTGGTGGCGATTTGGGGGGGCGTGGCTATGGGGCAGGGAATGGATGAGGGGACAGGTGTAGCTGAGGGGGCGGGGAGAGGATTTGGGGGGCTGGAAGGGGATTTGGGGGTACAGTGGGCAGATGGGGGGCTGGGGCTTAGGAAGGGGATGGGGGGAATTTGGGAGCTTGCCTCCACACAGCCCCACAGCAGACACCCCACTTGACATCCACATCCCCTTCCCACTGCCCCACCCCGCGGCTGGCCCCAAGCAGCGTCTGCAGCTTCCCACCGAGCGTCTCCGTCCATGGCCGAGTCTCTGGCGAGCCCCGAGCTGCCCCCGAAGCCGGGCATTTCCTCTGTCCGGCCGGCACCGAGAGCCCCCTGGTCGGCTCGTCCGTCGGGGTGTCTGTGCCGTGGGGGGTCTCCCATGTCCTAGGCTGCCTGTGGCCAAAACAGCCCAGCCGGCTCCTGGTGATGCACCTCTGGCAGCCCGGTGAGGTGCCCCACGGCTCCTGTGTCCTGGGCTGCCCCATGGCAGAGTCTCTCAGGGGTCCGGTGGCCGGAGCTGTCCCCTGTGGTAGCTGTCCCCACAGGCTGTCTTCTCCCGATCTCACCTCCCTCCGGCTCCTCCGCCCCCATCTCCCCTCCTCCAGCTCATCTGCCCCCATCTGCCCACCGATCGCCCCCCATCTCACCCCCCCGCCCCCTCAAGGCTTGCCCCGGCTGTGGACCCGGCGGTGTTTGACCACGTGGGAGCGCTGGCTGAAGCCGCGCCCGCACTCCCCGCAGGTGTAGGGCTTCTCCCC